GTATGCCTATTACCCTAGCACTCAGGAGGCTAGGATAGAAAGATCATATGTTCCAGGCCAGTCTGGGCTACAAATCAGCAAATTTAGAAAACACCATGGCTAGTGGAGGGAGAGAAGAGAAGAAGGGGCCAAAGGGAGAAGAGGAAGCAGTGGCAGCATAATAGTTTAGTACAGAAAATGATATTTTGTCTCTGGAGTTGAACCAGAAATCTACATTTTCATTTTGCTCTGAGGCTCACAAATTATGCAACTGGACATCACTGGGCTAGTTTAAGTAGTAAGGAATTGGATACAAATTAGATCACAAATCTTTCAAAGCCAGGGAACAAGTTTTAGCAAGAAACACCTTCCAGGAAAAACAATGTCTAGAAGAATGCACAACTCACATTAGTGTTATTATTGTGGAAACACAAACATACATACCACCTGCCAGTCTTTGTAAAACCACAAATAAATGTTAGCACTCCTCCCAGAAGAATCAGATCCTCTCACCATGGTGTTTGCCAGAAGACCTCATCTTTCCAAATACAGGTAAAACATTATGTTTCCCACTTTCAGAAACATACCTTGAATCAGTGCATTTGACTGCTGGAAATTAAACCACACACTGAAGCCAGTTTCTGATTGTTAGCATCTTTTCAAATTAATGCACATTTAAGGAAACTCATTCTGGTTGCTTGGGAGTCACTTTAGAAACTTGAAAACTAAATATCAGGGGGTCCACATTCTTTTTTTATCATCACACCACTAATCTCATGTTAGTACCCTAGCTGCAAGGGAGTCTGAAGCAATTTATTTGCCAGTTTCTAAAGTTTAGAAGAGCAAGCTAGAAGGTTGTGGTTGTTAGTCTTCCTTGTTAACGTGATGAGATTTAGAATCACCATGGAAACAAAAGTTATGTGTACAGGGATATTTCCAGAAAGGTTTAATTGACAAGGGAAAACTCAGCCTGACTGTGAACAGCATTATTCTATGAGCTGGGGTCCTTGCATAAATTAAAAGGTGAAAGTCAACTGAGCATTAGAGTTTATCTTTCTCTGCTTCCTGCCTGGACAAATATAAGCAGCTACCTCAAATCCTTGTTACTATGCCTTTCTCCAATGGACTATATTCCTTAGAACTTTAAGTCAAAAAAAATTCTTCCTTCTGTATGTTTCTTCTTGTCGTGTGTCCTGGCCACAGTGAGAAAAGTTGATAATAGGGAATGGACTGGCTGTTGTTGAATAAGCCAATACCCCCTGCCCCCCCCAATACTGTGGTCTTTGCTTACTCTTCCAGATAATCAATTGCCAAGAAGCAAATGTTTTCAACTGATGTTGAAAAGTATTGATAGCTGGGCGTTGGTGGCGCACGCCTTTAATCCCAGCACTCGGGAGGCAGAGGCAGGCGGATCTCTGTAAATTCGAGACCAGCCTGGACTACCAAGGGAGTTCCAGGACAGCCTCCAAAGCCACAGAGAAACCCTGTCTCGAAAAAACCAAAAAAAAAAAAAAAAAAAGAAAAAAAAAGAAAAGTATTGATACAGAAGGGTAGGAAGGCTCTGAGTAAATGGATGAGATGATAAGTGTCAGTCAATGAACTACAATAACGGACAGACATTAGCTGCTATCATTAAAATACATCTCACATAATTCTGACATATAAACTCTGCAAGAATAGAGACCATGTCACCATATCTCTCATTATCTTAGCAAATGATAGCCACTTGAAAAAAGATATTTAAATTCACATTTGGCATTGTACATATTGTACACAGAATGGTCATCTGGATGTGAACTTTCACCCACATTACTAAATTTTGAGTCTGATTACATGCTTGAAAAGTTAAAATGGTTTACTTATCATTTCATAGATGAGAAAATAAACTGATAGTTATCAGACAAATTCACTTATCTAGTAAATTAAATTTTTTTTTTTTGGTTTTATGAGACAAGGTTCTTTGTATTGTTTTGGAGACTGTCGGTCCAGCCTGGCCTCGAACTCACAGAGATCCGCCTGCCTCTGCCTCCCGAGTGCTGGGATTAAAGGAGTGTGCCACCACCGCCAGGTGTAAATTAAATTTTAAAATGGAGTCACTAACTAAAAATGCTATAACTTTTTTTTTCCAGGAAGAATATATTTATAAAAACTATTAAATCATGGTTATGAGACTGTTATCAGGTTTTCTTATTTGATCATCAACTTTAAATTACATGTAATGGAAACAATATTCCTCATCTCAAGCTGTAAATGTTTTTCAAGAGTGAACATTATTTCCTTAGAGTTCTAGAAAAATGTGAAATGTGATTGTAAGTGACTTTTGAAAAAGTAAATAATGTTTCAAGAGGCAATGGTCAGGAAGCTTTTTCTAGAAAGAATTAATCTTAGCTGGGCATTGGTGGTCCACGCCTTTAATCCCAGCACTCGGGAGGCAGAGGCAGGAGGATCTCTGTGAGTTTGAGGCCAGCCTGGTCTACAGAGCAAGTTCCAGGACATCCTCCAAAACAATACAGACAAACCCTGTCTCGAGAAAAAAAAAGAGTTAATCTTAATTTGATACCTTTACTTTTCACCAGTTAGAAACAGTATAATTTAAAAATTATGCATGGATTTCATCAAAATATAATATAGGGTTCTCAATCTTACACTCCTTAACATTCACAGTGCTGACTGGTAGGGCCAAAGAAACCACTGTGTGAAGCTAAAACTTAAGATTGTGTGTATTGGAGACCCAAATGTTAGAGATCCCAGAGCTGTGGTATATTTTCCAAGGAATTCTCCAGACAAAAAATAGAACCTGGTGAAGAGAGAAAGAGTGTGTTGCAGGTAGCAAAACAGCAAGGATACAGCCATCTATGCCTTTACATCCAACAAAGAGCTACAGAATTTGAAGTCTGCCCTGATAGGTTTTGTCTGGGTTTGAACCATGATTTCATTATTCTCCCTTTTGGGATGGTAATGCATGTTATGTGTCACTTATTTTGGAAGTATGTAATTTGATTTTTAATTACAATTAAAAGATTTCTTTGAGTCCCAAAAGAGACTGGACTTCATAAGAGTGTTGGCACTGAAAGACAGTGGGGACTTTAGAAGTTAAGAGTAAATGCATTTTGCATTATAAGCCTACAAGCCTAGGAGGCCCAGGGAGTGGAATGTGCTGGTTTAAATGTGACTAACCCCTACAGACTCATACATTTGAATATTTAGACCCCAGGTGGTGCAACTGTTTGGGAAGGATTAGGAGTTGTGACTTTGTTGGAGGTATGTTAGTGTGTGTGTGTATGTGTATGTGTGTGTGTGTGTGTGTGTGTGTGTGTGTGTGTGTGTCTGTCTGAAAGAAAATGGCACCCACAGGGAGTGGCACTATTAGAAAGTATGGCTTTGTTGGGATGGGTGTGGCCTTGTTAGAGGACGTGTGTCACTGTGGAGGTGGGCTCTGAGGTCTCATATATGCCCAAAATGTGATTTAGTAAGTGACAAAAATATTACAATTTAAAAAATACCATAAGAGCCACAGAACACCATGGAAATCACTGATATTGTCAATATGACATTCTGGTTGTATATATACTTATTTTATCAGAAAACTCATAGCAAGTATGCACATGAACACTACAGATGAACCCAGGGCTTATGCAGGGTAGTCTTATTTTAAAATCACTTCTCTAGTCTTTTAATACTTAAAATCAATTTTTAAATCTTTCCTTTGTACTGAAGTTGCTAGTAGGGTATGCCCTTGTCTTGCCATTTGTTATGACGTACTTGCGTGTAACTTACTGTTTTTGATGGGTCTCAAATCACCCTAAGCATAAACTCATATTAGCAATTATGTTATACAAACCGTTTCAGTGATGTGTCCCTTTAAGCCTTTTGATTTTATGTGAAAACCTACAATGACTGCGAACAAGGAGCTTTCACACCACTCCAAATACAAGGCAATATAATATCTAGTAAAATTCACCTGTATAATTTTGTAAGCGGGACAGAATGAGCTCTACGTTGGATGGATATTGAATGTCCTAATTTCAGTAGCATATTTCAAAACTGAAATCGTAGTTTTTGGTCCTTTTTTAAAATCTTTTTTTTTGGGGGGGGGGAGGAGGAACAAAGATTAGTTTTTACACGAGAGAAAACTGAGGCCTAAAGAGACCAAATTGTCCAAGGTCACACCCAATATTAGTGACCAAGCCAAACCTACGCTCTAATTTAACATCCAAACCCGCAGCATCTGTTTCCCCCAATCCCTAATTGCATCAATCACCGTTCAGGCTCCAAATAAAGTTGGTTTTTGTCTAACGGTCCTACCCCACGCCCCCTTTTCTTCTGTTGTTAACCCGTAGTAAAATCTCGCACAACGTGTTCATGAAAACACGGTGACTTTCATGAGCCTTTTTCCTTATGCCAAAAATTTTCTCTGAAAGGCTCTCTGGGTTCACCCCGCGGCCGGGAGAGGAGTGGAGGGAGGCGACAGGGGCAAACAAATCTTTACGTGTACTCGCTCGTGCCGGGGGTGCAGCCTGCGCGGCCGCGGAGGAAACCACAATGTACTAGCGTAGTGCTGTGTGTGTGTGTGTGTGTGTGTGTGTGTGTGCAGGGAGGCCGGGGGCGGGGGGGGGGAGAAAAACACGGCGGTGGGAAATCCCTGTGCTGTGCTTCGGCCAACCCTGGGCAAAGCTGGGCAGGGCCGCGCGTGAATAAATCTCATTAAGTGGCCGGGCGCAGACACTGCAGCACCGCAGAAGAGGAGGGGGCGAGGCAGAGCGCCGGGCTCGCCCGAGCCGGGGGCGGGGGAGCGAGCGAGCGCCAGGGCGGCTCTTTCATAGGCCGAGGCCCGCGCGCCCCCGCCCCTCGCGCTGGCCCGGGGATCGGTGCACCGCCGCGGCGTTACCTGAGAAGGGCCCGCTCGTCCGCGCCCCGCCCCGCCCCGCCCCGCCCCGCCCCGGCCCTCCCTCCCTCCCGCGAGGCCGGGCCGCACGACGTAGACGCCGCGCCTTCCTTCTCCCGCGGGCGGCTTCCCTTACCTTGTTGGGGAGGGGAGGAAAAAAAAAATCCTCTCGGCGGCCGCCCCCGCCTCCTCGAGAGGACATGAAATGGCGGTCGGCGAGGCGAGCGCGAGGAGCCGCCAAAACCCAGCGCCCCTCCGAGCCCATCCATGACATCGGCGCTCCCCGGGCCCCGCCGCAGTGACCCTGCCCACAGGCCGAATCATCGATTCGTCGGCGCTCGCCGCGCGGCCCGCCTTCCCGCCAGCCTCTTCCCGAAGCCGCGCGCTCCGGGCCGGGGAGAACACCTCCTCGCCCCCCAACCGGGTGCCCCCGCCGGGGCGCGCGCCCGCCCGCCCGCCCGCCACCCTCCCCGGCCCGCCGCCACTCTCTCGCGCACACACCCCCCCTCCTCCCCTCCCCCAGTGGTTGCGTCCGTGACATCATCATCATGGCAACAAGAGCTGCAGCCTGGGACCGAGGAGCCCGTGTGATTCCCGGCGGCGGCGGCCGTGGTAGCGACACCATCCGACCCGACGAACGCGCCAGGGCTTCTCTCCCGCTGCCTCTCGCCGGGAGCGTGTGAGGAGGGGGCGGCAGCACCACAGCCCCGCACCCCGGCGCGTCGTCGCCGCTCGTCTCGGCGTCCGTGCGAGGGGAGGGAGGAGGAGGGGGAGCGAGGCGAACCGAGCGAGAAGGGGAGGAGGCGCCTCTGCGGAGCCGCCGCCGCTGCTGCCGCCGCTGCCAGGTCGCCAGTGGAGGGGAGGCGGTGGCGGCGGCGGCGAACATGTTTTCTGTGAGGATAGTGACTGCCGACTACTACATGGCCAGCCCGCTGCGGGGGCTGGATATCTGCCAATCCCCCCTCACCCAGCTCCCTGTCAAGAAGGTGCCGGTGGTACGAGTCTTCGGAGCGACCCCGGCAGGTAAGCGGGAGCGGGCGGGAGTGCGAGCGGCGGGCCGCCGGGGCTGCCCTCCCCGCCGCGAACTCGCGCGCACGCCGGCCGCCGGCCCTCTCCGGGCTGGCCGCGGACTCTTCCCTCTCCCTCGCTCTGCTCGCCTTTTCTCCCGCGCGTGACAGGAGGCGCAAAAAATGTGGGTTCGTACGAGCGCTGCGCCCCCCCTCCGCGCCAGAGAGGCAGCGGGCGCCGGGTATGGACTGTGCGAGCGGCGGGCGGGCGGGCGGGCGGGCGGGCGGGCGGGCTGGGTCGGTCCCCGTCTCGGCGGCTGTGCCTCGTCCCCGAGGACGAGTTCGCGGGCCCTTAGGGGTTGACCGCTGACGGGACCCCGGACACCCGCCGCGTCTCCCCAGTGCCCTGTTCTAGAGACGGCTTTGAGAGCAGAGGGGAAGTGTCAGCCCTGTTGTCAGTCGCTCCCCGTTGCCTCTTTTCACCCTCGCTCTCCTCTGCCCCTGCCGGAGATGCTGTGACTGTCGAAAGTGGCGCCCGGGGCCAGATAATCTTTCTCATTGAAGTGACCATGTGGTTGTGCTGCGAGTGCAGGTCGTGACTGCTCAGAGTTTAACGCCTTGGCGGGGACAGAGCGGCATCCTCAGGTGCAATGCTTTCAGGAAATGTGCATCCGTGGAAATAGGAAATGCGTGTTTGTGTCGCCCAACATAAAATATTACACTTATCGGGGTGAATTCGTTAGGAAACACAGCCAAGCTCAGCAGCACAGATGTTTTTAAATGCCTCTAGGCTGGGTTGTAGGACTGCATTTTAAAAATAGATAAGGGAAAAACTATTTTGAAGAAATGATGGGAAAAATGACAGAAGCTATGTTCTGGAACGCTCGTTGGAATTTATAATACAAATAGGACAGTGGCCAAAATACAAGGTTTTCTTGTTTTTATTTTTCTGTTTTGCCTTTTACACGCTTCTAAACTGTTAACGTGGAATGCTAAAGCCGTTTTCTGGAGGAGGGAGTTCTTACCAAGGTATCGCCCTATGGGATTTTTAGATAGCATTTCCCACTTGATGCTCCTTGCCCTCATCGCCATTCATCTTTATTCCTATAGTCAGCTTCTGTGCACTCCCAAGATAATGCCACTTTCCAAAATGCGGGCACCCATCCTAAGCACCTTTGAAAGTGAATTCTCTTTGTTAGAAATGTCAATGCTTTAAATAAGAGTTGGCAAAAGACTGCTTTTTCAAATAGTGGGAGTTTGACGCTGCGAGCCGTGGAAGATGGAGAACTTGAATGCTGTTAACAGTTTGTGGAGAGTACAGCCCTTGGGACTTGAAAGACTGGAAAATATGATGTTCTATAGGATAGGTTTTCTACCCTTTTAAATATCGCGGTGCTGTCTTTGTTTTGATGGGGAATCTCGGGTGATACCCTGCTTGTTCTCGCTTCAGGGGCAGAGAATGATGAGTGAAGTTGACTTTCAAGTTGTAGGCAACATGCTAATAGGATGTGTTGTGGTGCTGCAGTTTGCACGGTGGTTGAGCTGCTTTTCTACAGTTTTGTTTTTCCTGCTACACTCACTAAATATGTATTTCTGGGTGATTTTAAAACTGTATTATGTAAGAAAGTTTTGTTTGTGGAAATACATGATTTTCACTAACAGCACAGTTTTGTGGAAGAATATTCTTTACAAATAGAGCGTGGTATATACATCCATGTTTCTGAATATTGGAATGTGAAATATTTCATAAGAAGTATTTATCTCTTCTTTCCTTCCTGAATATCTTACAATAGGTCACTAGCCCCTAATTAAAAAAAGAAAAAAAGAAAAATTTACCGTTTTATGGTATATTTTGAAATGTATAGTACAAATTAATAAAAAAAACTTTTCATACAGGTAAAACCAAACTTCAAATTGCCAAGGATTATCAAGTTGAAAGAGGTACAATTTACAGGCTTAAACAAAATTTTCTGTTTCAAGCATGGCACATGGGATGAATATAAATGTCAGTCAGCTTAGGATTCAGTGATTCTTTCATTAATGTATGTTAATAATTTACTTGGTTGGGATATGCCTTGGAGCTGAGGTCAAGAGAGAAAATAATAAAATAATTCCTTACATAGTATAAAACAATTCTTGTTTTCCTCAACAAGAAGAAAATTGAAGTATTTTTTAATGTCAGAAAACCCCAGTGGAATTAGTATTAATTCAATCTCAAAAACTAAGCTGCAGAGTTTTCTGCTTTTGAATTCTCTTCCCAAAGAAAACTAGTCTAAGCTACATAGAGAAATAAAACTTGAAAATAAGTAATGTAATAGAGAGGTCAGAACACATTTTATTAAAAATCTAATGCTTGACAGGTGTGGTGGTGCATGCCTTTAATCCCAGCATTTGGGAGGCAGAGACAGGTGGATCTCTGAGTTTGAGGCCAGCCTGCTCTACAGAGCTAGTTCCAGGACAGCAAAGGTTGTTGAACAGAAACCCTGTCTTGGGGTTAAAAAATTCTGGATGCTAAAATTTCTATTGAAAATAAATTTACTACTACAAAATGCAGGTAGTTTGTATCTTTACTAACAAGCAAACTACGTGAATGAAAATTTGTAACACCTGATAAGTCCATGAAGTACCATAAACATGTCTTCAGTTTATTGGTGTTAATTATGGAAGTCCTTAATTATTTACTTTGGTTTGGAGAAAAGATGTTTTTAAACAGAATTTGTTTTTCAAAGGAGGGCCTGAAAAATAACATCAGAAGAAAATTTCTCTAAAAATGGCTATTTAAGAATTATAAATTCTGAATTGATCGGAATACTGCTATTGCATGAAAAATTTTCTGCTTTAGGAAACAGTCCAGTTAACTTTCGCTGTCCTGTTTTAAGGACATATTTTGCATAATGTAAAAAATGTCTTGGATTTAAAAGTGTCTGTGTTTTGAGTTGGTGAAGTTTGAGAATATATATACTTTTTTTTTTAAAGTAGCATGTTCATACTTGAATTTGAAGTTCTGACTGATGGGTTTGATCATTTGCTAACTGAACATGGTGATTCTTATTTTCATGTGAATGATGGAATTATTTTTAAAACCTCTTTGGTTCTTTCAAACTCATTAAAATTTTTATTTTGAAGCGTGTGTGTGTGTGTGTGTGTGTATGAGAGAGAGAGAGAGAGAGAGAGAGCGTGAGCGTGTGAGTGAACATGTACTCAAGCACCATGGTGTATGTGTGGAGATCAGAGGGAATCCTTCCACCTTGTGAGTTTCTGGGATCAAACAGGTCATCAGGCTTCAGGCAGCAAGTGTCTTTACCAGATAAACCTTCTCATTGGCCCTAGACCTTTTTTTTTTAGAAAAGTGTTGAACATTATTTTGGTGCAACTGTGTCCCAAGCATTATATTTATAGAAAAAATGTCCTTTTCTTTTATAACAAACATCATTCTAGTAATTTGGCTTAGTGGAAAAAAAGCAAGATTATTACCAAAGTATGGGATCCTGCCTTTTCATTTACACTGAATGTCGGTGTGACTACTCAGGGAATTCTTATAGAATCCTGCTGAGGACCTGCCTCAGGTGAGGAACTGGTTGCTGTCCAGTTTCCACATCTCACCCCTTGCTTCATTACTTGATGTAGCACCCTTCATGCTGGGCTTAGATGTCTCTCCATTTTCTTTGCACCAGGTCGAAGCTTCCCTGCTGAAATGCAGAGTCGGAGTAGATAGAAGAGCAAAGTGTTTACTAACCAAGTCATGGACCAAAGTAGGCCAGACAGACTATAGAGGGAGCTACCTGCCTTCAAGATTACAGTCAGGAATTTTACTGTAACTTTCTCTCCTACTTGCAAATAGTTTTATAGATTGTTGGAGACAGTAACATGAAATAAAATGGTTCTTTACAAGCATAACTTATAATTCTGAAATTCTACATGAGTATAGGGGCTTAGTGATTTCTCCTATTTTATAAACCTAGCTGCAGTGGACTATTATAATGACCTGTTTTGGTAACTTGGTAGATTATTAAATACATTTTTATGAGTATGATTTTGAAAACTATAGCATTTAACTCAGATTCTCAAAACCGAGAATCTTGTTTACTTTTTAGCTAAACATTCAAAAATATCTAAGATCATGTAAGACCTATTCAGTTATAATTATTAGAGATTTTCCAGAGCACACCGAGATCTAGTTAGGCTAATCGCAAACAAAATTGTCTACTTTAATAAATATTTGAAGACCCAAATAGAAAGCTTTACTAGTTTTATGCCATATATTTGACTAAAGTCATAATTAGCAAATCAGAAGCAGGCAGGAGCCCTCTTGAATCTGGAACACTGGAGAAGCTTAGTGTATGTCAGCACATTCTGTGTGCCTTTGTTAAAGCAGCATTACCCTCCAGAAACTCAGAAAAGAAGCGGTGATAGACATGGAAATATAAATTAAACATAGAATG